GGGGCGGTCCCTGGGGGTCGGGTCCCTGTGGGTGGGGTCCCTGTGGGGCGGTCCCTGGGGGTCGCGTCCCTGGGGGTCGGGTCCCTACGGGTCGGGTCCCTGTGGGGCGGTCCCTGGGGGTGACGTCTCTAAGGGTCGGGCCCCTGCGGCGTGGTCCCCACGGGCTGAGTCCACCGAGGAGGCCGCTGGAGCCCGAGCTCGCGCCCGCCCGCGGCGCCAAGATGGAGGCAGGAAGCGCCGCCGCCGCCCGCGCCCGCCGCCGCCCGCGCCGCCCGCCTGACGCCGCCGTCGCGCCTGACGCCGCCGCCCGCGCGGCCGCCCCTCCCCCGGCCCTCCCCTCCCCCCGCCGTAACGTCCTGACGCTCCGCAGGGACCCCTGACTGGACGGCGGCGCGTGAGCGGAGCGAGAGGCCTCGCCGCGGGGGGGCCGCGGGCGCGCCGGCGCCGCTTACCTGGGGCCGCGCCGGGCCTGCTCAGGCGCCCAGCGGGGGCGGCGGCGTCGGGAGCTGCGGCGGCGGCGGGCGGCGGCTGCGGCCGCGGGCTTCGCTCCTTGTTGGGGATTCGGCGGCGGCGGCGGCGGCGGCGCGGGCGCGCGCTTCCTAGTGACGCAGGCGGCGGGGTCGCGCACGCACGGAGCTGGGAGGGCCGGACACTTATTTGGCGCTCCCGAGGAGGAAGGCGGGGCCGTGAAATAAGGCCCAATGGGCCCCGGGGCGCGTGCGCGGACCGACCTTGTCGGCTCCGGACGCCGCGGGCTCCTGGTCCCACTGGCCCGGGTCGGGCGTCGCGTTCCCGGCGCGGGCGGCCTGGCCGAGGGACGAGGGTCAGTGGACGGACGGCGCCAGGGAGTAGTGCCCACGCGCGGCAGAGCGGTACCTTCAGGCCCCCAGGTACGGGCACCCCTCGCCCGGACGCTGCTGTGGGTGAACGGGCGCAGACGGGACTCGCCTGCGGGGCGGACGCCTGGATTCGAGGCTGTGGAGGAAGACGCCGTAGGGTGCAGGGGACTCGCGCGGAACATGCGGGGGGCTCAGCCAGCCACGGCTCCCAGCGTAGAGGGCGAGAGGCATCTGAGAGCGGCCAGGAGGGAGGGCACGGTCACCCCTCAAGCCGTCACCCCAATCCCACAAACGGCACTCCAGTCCCACTGCAGTCCCACAGCCGGCACCCCGATCGCATAGCTGACACCGCAATCCCACCCGTCCCACAGCCGGTACCCCGATCGCATAGCTGACACCGCAATCCCACCCGTCCCACAGCCGGTACCCCGATTCTATAGCTGACACTCAGTCCCACAGGCAGCACCCCGATCCCATCCCGGTCCCACAGCTGGCTCACCCCGATCGCGTAGCTGACACCCGGATCCCGCCCCCGTCCGGCAGCTGGCACCCCGATCCTGTAGCTGACCCTCAGTCCTGCAGCCAGCACCCCGATCCCATAGATGACACCCCATTCCACGGCCGGCACCCCGACCCTGCACCAGTCCCGCAGCAGACACCCCGATCCCACCCCAGGCCGGCAGCCGGCTCGGATCCTGTGGCTCTCCTCCAGCCCCCAGAGCTCGTTTGTATGTTTTATTGGCAGAGGCTGGGGCTGGCCCCGTGGGCCTCTGTGCTGGGTTTCTCTGCACTGCAAGGCTGGCTCTTCTGACCTCTTCCAGGTGTGACTGAGCACCCTTGCACTTGCTGTCACCCTGCCTGTCTGCAGGATCCCGGGTTCCCTATCAGGGACTGAAATGAGTCAGAAAATAGGAAACGTGTTTGTCTGGGATGGAGCCCTGACTCTGTGCTCACACTTTAGGAGGAAGGCTCAGCAGGCCACCTCCCAGAATGGGAGGTTCCCAAGCCAGCCATACTTCCGAGGTGCTGCAATCAGGGCTGCAATTGCATTCTGTTCTCAGTAAAGTAGAATGTGCTCAAGCCAATGAAGAAAAGGTTTTTGGGTTTGTTTGGGTTTTTTTTAGATGGAGTCTTGCCCTGTCGCCCAGACTGGAGTGCGGTGGCATGATCTCAGCTCACTTGGTTCAAGCAATTCTCCTGCCTCAGCTTCTCAAGTAGCTAGGATTACAGGCACCCGACACCATGCCCAGCTAATTTTTGTATTTTTAGTAGAGATGAGGTTTCACCATGTTGGCCAAGTTGGTCTGGAACTCCTGACCTCGTGATCCTCCTACCTCAGCCTCCCAAAGTGCTGGGATTCCAGGAATAAGCCACTGTATTTTTTAAAATTAGATTTGCTGAGCAAGGTGGCTCATGCCTTTTACCTCAACACTTTGGGAGGCCAAGGAGGGAGGATCACCTGAGGCTGGAGTTCAAGACCAGCCTGGGCAGCAGAGTGAGACTGTCTCTGGGAAAGAATTTTAAAAATTAAACTTTTGAGCCTTTGTCAGTGCTACTATTTTATTACCTGGTTAACATGAGAGAGCTCATACAGTTTGTGTGCTTGCCATTTATCTGAGTTTGCCTGTCTTCATATTTTGGGAATAAATGCCAATAAAGTCAAAGAGGGGTGCTGGGGGTGCCTGGGGATGGGAAGGCAGCCACAGCTAACCTGCCGAGATCTGACTGGGGTGAGCCCTGGGGCCTGTTCTGCCTCCTTCACTCTGGGGGTGTCCTTATACCCCATTCCTCCCACTGATGCAGGACCCTCACTTCCGGGGAGGCCCCAGTCACAAGGCTGCAGACCTGAGAAAAGAAAGAAGCCAAAACACCATGATTCGAAGGCACAAGCTGCCCCCTTCTGCAGGATCCAGGGGAGGCGTGAGACCCTGAGGTTTAAGTTCCGGATCCTAAAAATCAAACCTTCAAATGGTCCAGTCTACTCAGAGTTAGAGCTTCTGTTTATTCCAAAGCCTGAAGTTCTGGGACTGCCTGAGATGCGTGAGGAAGCCTCACAGGCCAGGCTTTTGTCTCTAAAGCTTGAGTCCCCAGCAGCTGAGGGGAAGAGAAAAGTGTTCTTCAGTTGAATTCATGTCATCAGCTAGAGCTGTCGTCTGAACGTGGTGTGCCCTGCAGGGTTGACTTTTGGAAACCCTAACCCACAAGGCAATGGTATTAGAAGGTGGGGCCTTTGGGAGATGATCAGGTCATGAGGGTGGTGCCCTCCTGAATGGGATTAGTGATCTTGTAAAAGGGACCCCAGAGGGACCCTTAACCCTTCCCCCACCTGAGAGCACAGTGAGAAGGGGCCATCTGTGGACCAGGAAGTGACTCCTCACTAGACGCTACTGATATCTTAATCTTGGACGTCCAACCTCCAGAACCACGAGCAACAAATTCCTGTTTATAAGCCAGCTAGTGTGTGGTAATTTTGTAATAAGCATTCTAAGATAGCCAGTGTTACTGAGCATCTACAAAGTAAGGAAATGTTTTTAAAAAGACGGAGCCTTGTTTTCTTTCTTTTTTGAGACAGAGTCACACTCTCTCACCCCGGCTGCAGTGCAGTGACACAGTCTCCAGCCCACTGTGACCTCCACCTCTGAGATTCAAGTGATTCTCTTGCCTCAGCCACCAAAGCAGTGGAATTATAGGAGTGTGCCACCATGCCCAGCTAATTTTGTATTTTAAGTAGAGACCAGCTTTCTCCATGTTGGCCAGGCTGGTCTCGAACTCCCGACCACAGGTGATCTGCCCACCTTGGCCTCCCAAAGTGCTGGGAATACAGGCATGAGCCACTGCACCGGGCCAACTTTTGTATTTTTTAGTAAAGCCATGTTGGCCAGGGTGGTCTCCAACTCCTGACCTCAGGTGATCTGAGGCCTCCCAAATTGCTGGGATTATAGGCGTGAGCCACTGTTCCCAGTCAAAAGATGGGGCCTCAACAGAGAACAGAGGCCCAGCCTGAAGGCTCCCACCAGCCAGCGCCTGCAGAGCAGCAGCAGCCATGGCGTGGTGCAGCACTGGGTATGACCCACAGCAGGAAAAAGGGCCTGGGAGTCTGTATAGATATAAATAAGTAGGAGTGGAGAGACCAGACAGCTCTTCTGTGCAGTGGAATTCCAGTTAAGAAGTGTAGAGAAAATAGAAAATCACCATTATTTGTTACAAACTCCACTGATACGTGCTAAAATTATTGGGCAGAAGTTTGAAGTGAAATGAGATTTGCATGGTCTCAAAATACCTCCTCCAGGCATGGTGGCTCATGCCTGTAATCCCAGCACTTTGTGAGGCCAAGGCAGGCGGATTACGAGGTCAGGAGTTTGAGACCAGCCTGACCAACATGGTGAAACCCCGTCAGTACTAAAAATGCAAAAATTAGCCTGCCCTGGTGGCGGATGCCTGTAGTCCCAGCTACTCAGGAGGCTGAGGCAGGAGAATCGCTTGAACCTGAGAGGCAGAGGTTGCAGTGAGCTGAGATTTCTCCACTGCACTCCAGCCTGGGCGACAGAGTGAGACTTTGTCTCAGAAACACACACACACACACACACACACACACACACACACACGAATAAGAGAAAAGAAATGTTGACTGCAGGCTGGGCAAGGTGGCTCGCGCCTGTAATCCCAGCATTTTGGAAGGCTCAGGTGGGTAGATCACCTGAGGTCAGGAGTGCAAAACAGCCTGGTCAACATGGTGAAACCCTGTCTCCACGAAAAATACAAAAATTAGCTGGGCGGATGTACACCTGTAGTCCCAGGTACTTGGGCAGCTGGGGTAGGCGAATCACTTGAACAGGGGAGGTGGAGGTTGCAGTGAGTCGAGATCACACCACCACACTCCATCCAGCCTGGGTGACAGAGTGAGACTCCAAAAGCAAGAAAAGAAACAGGTGGGACCCTCAGTGTGTCTAGGGCATGGTGGGTGAGGTATAGTGCTGGCCCCTCACGTGGAAGTAGACAAGAGCCGACCCTATGTCTACTGGGGAAACACTGGCACGCCAACCACAGTCAATCCCTCACTCCCGCCAGGACAGCTGGGCCAGAGCGTGGGTTTGGTAGCACCCATGTCTTGGGATCACAATGTGGTTGACAGCTCCTCCCATTTGATTTCCTCATGGGAAGGACTGCAGTATTACAATACACAGGCTGGTGCAAGGGATCATAATACCCTTTCCTCTTTTTTTAAATTTTTTTTAGACGGAGTTTCACTCCTATCACCCAGGCTGGAGTGCAGTGGTGAGATCTTGGCTCACTGCAACCTCCGCCTGTCTCAGCCTCCTGAATAGCTGGGATTACAGCCATGTGCCACCAGGCCCAGCAAAGTTTATATTTTTAGTAGAGACTGGGTTTCACCAAGCTGGTCAGGCTGGTTTTGAACTTCTGAGCTCTGAAGTTGAGGTCAGATACGCCTGCCTCATGGCCTCCCAAAGTGCTGAGATTACAGGCATGAGCCACTGTGCCCAGTCTCTTGTCCTTGTGGGGTTGTTCTTTTTTGTTTGTTTGTTTGTTTTGAGACAGAGTCTCACTCTGTCACCCAGGCTGGAGTGCAATGGAGAAATCTCAGCTCACTGCAACCTCTGCCTCCCAGGTTCAAGCGATTCTCCTGCCTCAGCCTCCCAAGTACCTGGGATTACAGGTATGTGCCACCATGCTGGGCTAATTTTTTGTATTTTAGTAGAGACAAGGTTTCACCATGTTGGTCAGGCTGCTCTCAAACTCCTGACCT